ACATCCCCCACAAAGGGTCAAAATTTTGAATATTCATGGAGCTCATAAAACTTAAGATTAACATCCGATATAATTCAGACTTGGTACATCTCAATATTTCCATCAAAGCAAGATTTGTTATAAAGATGGATCGGACCATTCCATCTGGTACCTCTACTACAAAGGGTCAAAATTTTGAAAAACTAAAACGATCATATAATCTGAAATAAGCATCAGGTTCTCTTCAAATTACACGCATCACAATATTTTTATTAACCCCAGGTCTGGGCTGAAAATGGGATATATCGGTCCACTCCTTCTGGTACCTCCCCCACAAAGGGTCAAAATTTCGAGTTCCCATAAAGCTCATAAAACGCGAAATTAACATCCGATTCCATTCAGACTTGATACATCTCAATATTTCCATCAATACAAGATCTGTTATAAAGATGATAGATATCGACCATTTCTTCTGGTATCTCCCCCACATAGGGTTCACGATTTTTGAAAAAGTATAGAAAGGAGTTGATATAGTCCATATACGGCACGTTGTAATATTTATATCAGTCTTAGGTCAGATACGAATTGGTCAACATTGGGCATCTACTTCGGAACCTCCCCCATAAAGGGTTAAAAGTTTGAATAATCATAACTCGAGGCTGGGGGTATAGATCTGTCGGCAAATCCGACTGATTGTATTTTAGTTGTTTTATTTCCTTTTTGTTCTAAAACCCATAGAACCTGTGTAGTTACTTCTTCCATGTTCTTTTTTGTATTTTTGATATATGTTTTGCAAACGCTTTACCTTTATTTTTTCACAAACGTTATTTTATGCTGCCGCTTTTTTACTTTGTTTAAATATGTTCAATTATTTCCAAATCTAACTGATTTTTTTTGTTTAATTTAGTCTTTGCCCTCGATGCCAAATTCCGTTTCGATGATAACGGCGAATTCCGTCAAAAGGAATTGTTTGCCATGCGCGATTGGACCCAAGAGGATCCACGTGAAGTTGAAGCTGCCAAATATGATTTGAACTACATTACCTTGGATGGTACCATTGGTTGTATGGTCAATGGTGCTGGTTTGGCTATGGCCACCATGGATATCATTAAGCTGTATGGTGGTGATCCAGCCAATTTCTTGGATGTGGGTGGTGGTGCCACTGCTACTGCCGTCAAGGAAGCTTTCAAAATTATTACTGCCGATCCCAAGGTGATGTGCATTTTGGTTAACATCTTTGGTGGTATTATGCGTTGTGATGTCATTGCTGAGGGTATTATTGCTGCCGCCAAGGATTTGCAAATGAAAATGCCAATTGTGTGCAGGTTGCAGGTGAGTTTCTTAAAAAAAAGATAAAAAATCAAACAAACTTTAATCCCTCTCCCATTTCTGTATTCCGCAGGGCACCAATGTAAATGAGGCTCGTGAATTGATCAAGAAATCTGGCTTGAGAATTATTCCCCGTCACGACTTGGATGAGGCTGCCAATTTGGCCGTGCACTTGGCCAAGATCGTCGAGTTGGCCCGTGAAGTCAAAATGGATGTCAGCTTTGAAATTCCCGACAGCGTCAAGTAGACATTTATTTATTCTACCATCAATAAACAAAATGATTTACCACCAACACCACCATCTCTTACATCCTTACCCTTAGCTATTGATTGCTTCTACAATATTAAAAAAAATATACACCAACTATTCATAAATTCTCTGAAACTATTAGATAAACAATAAAAAAACATTTATCACCGAAAAAAAAAAATTGGAAACCCACCCAATATGGCCAGCATTGTAGTTTTGCAAAAGGTTATTCTAAGATCCATGGAATGTTTGAATTGTTATTACATCCATTTAAACCCAAAAAAACAACAACAAAACCAATCAATCAATGAATGAATGATATTGCAGCTTCTAAAGCTATTCCTCCTAACCTATAAAAAAAAATAAATTAGAATATCATTGTTAATATATTGAAAATAATGAAAACCCGAGCACTTTCTTATTGTAACATTTAAATGCACAAGATGTTGAATGTAAATATATATATGTAATAACTGAAGACTCCGAAAAAACTTTCTTTCTCTTCCACAAAGAGCCATACATTGTTACTTGTGACTGCCTTCATGTACTTTTTTGTTGTTGTGTCCATATAGTTTCATTGATTTTTATTATAAAGAAATTACCATCATTTTTTTCTCTTAGTTGTTTATATATTTTAAATAATTTTGTTTGCAAGAAAATGTCCCATGGCATGTTCTTGTTTTTGTTGTTATGCTATATTTTACATCATTTTCTTTTCTATCTCTCTCTTAATTTTTTCCTATTTTTAAGTTTTATTTTAAACAAAAATACACTCATAATACAAAGAAGACCAATACCTCTTTGAAACCAAAAAATCAAACAACTGCCTGTTTTCTTTTATCAGTCATTGATTATCTCTGACTTAATACCATTACTAATAAACCACTTGATGTCTCTTTTCTATCTTTTTTTTATAGAAAAGCATAAGAAGAACGCAAGTCCTTTTTAGAACGGCTGTTCATCTTTGCCAAGAAGGACAGTTCTGCTACTACATACATGTGGTTAATAACTTTTCTTTAATTTCTGTAAAATTTCATTTAATTAACAAAATTTAATTCAATTTGAATTTATATTTGTGTAACAATTAATTAATAATATGTGATATAATGATTTGGAAATATATATGTTTTTTGAGCTATATATGTTTCATTTTTTAAATAATTTGTTTTTCATGAAATGAAATCCGTTGGAAAAGAAGCTTGTTTTAGTGTTTAATTTTGGTCAAGGGACTGGCTTGACGTATATCTGAGTTAAGTTAAACTAGTAAAATAGTATTAATCGGTTTTGCCAACACATGTATACCCTCCGGCCTTGAGTTTTGATTATTCAAGTTGTGGACCGAAGCCGTTAGACAATATTGACAATTCGTATCTGACCTAAAACTGATAAAAATATTACAACGTGCCAGAATTGGAATTGTGCAACCCCAAAAGGACATGTAACAGAAGAAATGGTCCGATCTCTACCATCTTTGTAACAAATGTTGCGTTGGTGGAAATATTGAGATGTGTCAAGTATGAATGAAATCGGATGTTAATTTCGCGTTTTATGAGCCTCATGGATATTCAAAGTTTTGACTCTGTAGGGGAGGTACCGGAAGGAGTAGACCGATATATCCCATTTTCACACCAGACCTTGGGTTATTAAAAATATTGTTATGTGTGTATTTTAAAGAGAACCAGATGCTTATTTCGAATTTTAGGATCGTCTTGGTTGTTTAAAACTTCAAACCTTTGTGGGGGAAGTACCAGCAGGAATGATCCGATCTCTATCATCTTTATAAAAGATCTTGTGTTGAAGGCAGTATTGAGATGTGCCAAGTCTGAATGGAATCTGATGTTAATTTCGTGTTTTATAAATCTCTAGATCAAGAGGCATATCAGGCAGGTCTGAGTGGCATTCATATTGATGACGTCGCAGATGTCATCATCAATTACATGATGAAAACCGTCATCGGAGTCCACCCTTCGTCCATTGCAGCTGAAGAACGTCAGCTGCCTAGACCAACCAGGGCAGTTTTGGCGCAATAACTTTCAGGATGATGCAGGCGTCTCAACTCGTATTAAACACGAATTGACGAAGATGTGCGTGACGTCTGTCCGACGTGTGATACAGACCCTAACAATACGCTGCACCTCTTTAATTGTATCGCCAAACCTACTCAACTCACTCCAGAAGATCTCCGGTTACAACCCGTTAAGCTAGCCAAAATTTTAAACCTGTAGCTTGAACCAGATTAGCAGAATCCAAACATCTGCATGTACTACTGCTGCTACTACAACAACAAGTACGAAGTTTACCTTCACCTCAACAAAAATGACTTGAAGTTCAGGCACGGACAGCGATTCAGGATCGACTGCTACCACTAGTAGCACGAAACGGAACGAAGGTAATGCTCTGACTCTTGACCTAGTTAACGACAGTGTGATAAGAAAGATGCAAGCAATTCGCCAGATTATTGCAGATATGGGACCGTTAATGCTGAGTCAGGGCATTTTTCTCGTATTCTCCTCCTTTCTGACGAGGAAGAGGACATAAATACTAAAATAGACCTCGACATCTAATTGACTCCCAAGGAAGTCGACCTGAGCAGCTCCACCGTTCCCAATATCAATTTGTCGACTAGCTCATGCTCTCAAGGCTGTTGAAGTAGAAGGAGAACAGAGAGGTGTCTCTATTAAAAAAATTGAGTGTTTTTGAATTCTCTCGATACAAAAAAACAGGGAGACAAAGAATAAAAAGCCAGATCCGCGTTCTGATATCATCTCTAAACTGGGCCTGCTTTTAACTTCTAGTTCAAAAAGGAAGGGACTTGTATCGATGGGGTCCTTAGCGATATGGAAGCTAGGCACTGCTGTTAATTCGAGCCTATTCAGATATTAGTTGTCCAAATCTACTCGGCTAGCAGTAAACCAATGTCAATGGGGATCCATCAAAGATCACTGATAAGAACATGCAGTTTATAAGCACGTTAAAAAATTTCAAGAGGCTCAATAGGACTGTATACAATGCCTTCAAAGCCATGTGGCCAAACTGCGAATACTTTTTCTGCTCATCCTCACAAAGTCTCGGGGCAAATTCTAGCATTCTAATTCGATAAAAATAAATTTTTTTAAATAATGGAAAAGTGAAACGTTTATCCTTTATTCGACCAAGGATTGAAGATTCTGCATTGGTTTCGATATATTCTCCCTCTTTTTTACATGACTTCTAATTCCTCTGTTTTCTTTCATTTATTCGGCTAAGGATTGAAGATTCTACTGTGGTCTCAATATATCCTCCCCCTTTTTTACTTGACATCCAATTCCTATGTTTTCTTTCATTTATCCTTTATTCGGCTGAGGATTTAAGATTCGACTGTAGTCCCAATATATCCTCCCTCTTTTCTACATGACTTTTTTTCTATTTCACTCTCTCTCTCTCTTCCACATATCAATTTGAGTTTCTTATATCTATGACTCCTTGATGGTAAAAAACAATGTTTTTATTAATAAAGCTAGTTTAGAAACGATCGACTAAGGATAGTATATGTGTCTCTTCTTGCTCCTTCCAATCAGCATCGCCATCTTCACCCAAATTACCGGCATATTCTATAAATAAAATACAACAAATTAACCAAAAGTCATTAAATATCTCAAATAAGAAAAAATACCTCTCATAACACTGCGTATCGTTTTCATGGAAGCACCACGCAAATTCAATATTTGTAATACCCGGGATTTGATGGATTCTGAGGTGGCGCTGATTTCCAAGATAATATAATCAATCATCTGTAGGGTAAACAAACCGCCGGTTAAACGTTTAAGGTAATTATTTTCAGCCTCCTCTGTTTCATCGATGTCGTCATCCTAAAAAGGGGAAACATTGTTTAATTTGAAATTCTTTGAGAACTAAACAATTCTAGAAAAAAATTGTCGCGGGCCTTCGAAACCTATAAAATGTCATTAAACATTTTTCTTATGTTCCCGAGACGTTCATATTTTTTTAAATGATTTTTCGTGACCTTTTCGAATCCTAAAAACATTTATAGAACATTTTTCATAAGCTTCGAATGGCCTATGATAGTGACCTATAATATTTTATAGAAATTATGGACTCTGAAACCTACAAAATTTTATTTTCGTAAGACTCTGAGGTCTATCAAATTGTATCGAAAAAAAATTCGTAGGCCTCCGAGATCTATACAATTTTGTACAAAAATATAATATTCCTCCAAGGACTATAACACTAAATAGAGATTTTAGGGTTACAAAATGTACTTCTCTTCAACAATTAGAAAAACAATGAATTAAAGTTTTATAAATAAACCTACCCTCGGTTGCTGGTCAATTTCCCTATCCACTGCCTCAACCTTCTCCAAATACTTCAAATGCAACTCCAACAAACGATCCACCTTTTCATGATCGTTTTCGGTGAATTTCGATAGCAGCCGCTGTCTTTGGGCACCCTTACAATTTCTCAACATCGACGCAATGACGGCGCAGACATGTTCCTCATGAGCATCCGCGGACAATAGGCGTTTACTTTTCTTCGGCGTTTTCATAAACAGTGGGAATATGGTACGCAGCCCCAAGATATCCACAAATTTATTACAATTATCACGACCATCCGGACCCGACATGGCATGATCGAGCACCTTCAAGGAACCATTTCGTGACATTTTCTTTTCCCTCAACATAAGGTTCATCAGCTGTAAACCTTCTCCTTTGAGGAACTTCTCACGATTCTCTTTGGCCATTAGTGCCGAACACATGCAATTGAATAGATTTTCCATATATTCTTGTTCCTCTGTCGAAGAGGGGTCATGTTTCTTATAGAAGGCCAATTGCTGGAGCAGGATATCAATGCCATCCAGCTCACCCAACATCAATTTGTTGTCATAATTGGTCTGTATTAGTATGGAAAGGATTTCACTGCAGTATAGTTTATTGGCATCGTAGGGTGGTTTTTGTTTAAGTCTTTTAAGGATCCAGGGTAAAAGGCCCTGTTGTGCCGCCTCTGCCACAATATCGTTATTCATTTCTGTAAGATTTTCCACAATCGACAAGGTGTTGTGCACACCATCGGCCTCCTCTTTTATTTGTTCATTAAGACGTTCTAAATTCTGCACCAAAAGGGCAATGACCTGTTGTTTGCGTAGGGCCTCAATTAAGACTTCGGCGCCATCACTACTTTCACCTGGAAGTACCACAAAATATTTAAAACCTCCTTCAAAAAAGTTTTATTTAAGTTATTCCCTACCCAAAATATCAACATCTGTAACCTCCTGCAAAAGATCAACAATTGCCACGGCAATATCAGTATTTGGATGATTTAACAATTCCAACAGACTTGGTATACCATTGAGCTCTACCAAAACGGGATATAAATCTGGTACAGTGGCAACAGCCTTTAACTCTTGTATTACCGAATGTAGTTCCACTTCCGTGTCCATGAATTTAATGGGATTATCGGAATACTTTATACGCAGCTCCTGATTTTTTAAGTTTTTCTTTTCGAACACCAATAGCAACTTTTTCAAACCTTGTTCGTCCAAGACATCACCTTCAGCTTCTTCACTTTCAACGTATTTCAGAATATTCATACGTTCCTCATTTGTTAGCTCGGGATCTAGTAGAGCTGCCGCCACCCCACTCAACTGGGGTATGGGTTCCTCAGGTTTGGCAAAATCGGCTGCCTCCTTGGCTTGGGCAATACGTTTCAAACGTTTGCTGTTCTTTTCCTCTTGCCTGCTGGGCGGTTTCTCCGGCGAGTAGTCCTCATCGTCTTCGTGAGACCGTTTCGGAGTGGCTTCCGGCTGGAAAAGTTTTAATTAGGAAAAAAGGTTTCTACAATATTCCAAGATGGGCACAACACTAGGGACGAGTTTTGATACATTGTCCGCATGTTTTGCTTGTCATTTCTTCTTTACTTACTTTGAAGGATAAAAGCTCTCCAATATCCATTCTTTATTGATTATCGCAGTAGTTTTTTTTCTGGAATTTGGTAGTAAATTAAACGCTATTTTGGTTGTTCTCAAAAAGTGGACGATAAAGATGTTTCGATGTTCCAAATAAATGAAAAAACGTTCCATGTGCCACGAACAAGAGACATAGGTATGAATGACCAATAAAGATACAACACAAAACAAAATGACCCGGTGAAGCTTTGTTTACGTATAAAACAAAAGTAAAATAGCAGACGAATGGGGTGGAAGCAGAGCACGAAGCCGATCGGCTCGCAGTCGGCGTGCAGCCGCCGCCGACTTTTTTTAAGTGATCTGAGCCGCCGCTGATGTATGCGGCTCTCATCGGCTCAAATTTTTAGCCGACTGAGTCGGCTAAGCCGTTGAAAAATATAAATTTATACAGCAAATTTGTATAAATATGTCTTTTAATCTTATCGATAAATTAACATATTATAATGCTCATTATTGGACGATAATTTACATTGTGCACTCGTCTTCGAGAGGCAAAAACGTGTAGGCTATTTATATTAATTATACCCTACACCACATAGTGGTAAGGGTATTATGACTTTGTAGATTTGTTTTTTTATCACAAAACCTTTGGCAACCTTTTGTAACTTACGAATTTTGATGGAGTGGCAACCATATTGTTTGCCAAAGATTCGTTGTGTTTTTGCTTGTTCAAAGAAAAGAATGCAAAATGTGCCAAAGGAATATTAAAAATTATTTTTCCGCTAACCGAAAGGGTCAAACAGTTTTGACTAAATCAGAATCCGATTCTGACGAATCTGTTGATACTGAAATCAATATTTCTCCATATGCAGATGTATCTCAATATGAAGATCTTTTTAAAAAGAAAAATGAATTTAAAAATTTGGCAAAGGTTGTTGTAAATGAAGGTGGTATATCAATGTGTTGGAAATATTTTGGTGATCTCTATTTTAAAAAGAGGCATATACTTCAAAAATATAAATTTTGCAAATTGTGTTTGGATGAAAAGACCAATTTAAAAAGGTAAGAATTTCTAATTTTTTCCATTCGCATGTGTGTAAATGTTTATGATTTTAGTTTTGGAAAATCAACATCAACCACAAATTATATGAACCATCTACGAGCTGTACATAACTTGGACGTGAAATCTTTAAATAACCTGAAAAGTTCAACAATGACACAAAATGCATTGAAATCCTCAACAAGTTGTAACAACAAACAACAAAATGCTCGCCGGGTCGCCGAAATGTGCTGTTGGGATTTGCAACCGTTTAAAATTGTTGAAAGGCCAGGATTTAAGAAATTGGTATCTTTCTTAAACCCAAAGGCTATATTCCCCACAGATAGGACAATAGCTACGACGGCTTTAAACGATGTTTATAACATATATTTGGACCACGTAAAAACAAGCCTTAAAGAGTCGCCCAAAAATGTTACACTTGTATTGGATATGTGGTCAGATAAACATAAGCACTTGTCTTACATAAACATAAAAGTTCATTTCTGCCAAAAATTTTCAAATGCAAATTGTAACGCTCAAGACAGAGATCTTTCCACGACCTCACACTGGACTAGCAGTTGTAGAAAAAATTGAAGAAGCTTTATGTGAATTTAATCTGTTGGAAAAAAACATATGTGCTGTTACTGATGGTGGAAGCAACATCGTTTCAGCTTTAAAAATTAAAAATATACCAAGATATGGTTGTATGGCTCATGTTTTACACAGATTTTTGATGGAAGATATACTAAACAACAAGTCATTTGAAAATATTAATAACATAATATCAAAATTAAAAAAAATTTATAGCAGCTTAATGTATAGCTATGAAGAAATATCAAATATTCAAAATATGGAGGAACAAAACGATTTAGAAAAAATATTTACAGAGGTTGAAATAATTTTGGAGAGTTTGGATAGTTGCGAACAATTTCCACATGGAGATGACTATTTTACTGAACAATATGAAGCAACTTTAAACGTCAAGCACCACACCTCTTTGAAAAATTCCGTTGCAACACGTTGGAACTCTCTGCTTGCAATGATTCAAAGCTATACGAATAATATATCCACTATAAATGTAGCATTAGTTAAAGCTAAAAAGGAACTGTTAGTGATTGGGACAATGGAAAAGCAAATTATAACGGAATTTGGCACGTTTTTAAAAATTTTTGAGGACGCCACAAAACACCTTCAAGGCCAAGATTATCCGACGATATCTTCGTGTATTTATTTTCAGGAATCCATTATGTCCTCAATGAAGAATGAAGAAGAAAAAGCGTCTTTTGAACTAACAATCAATTTATGCAATTTCGCTGTGCAAAACTTCACGAAGCGATTCAAAGTATATAGAATGTATGTTGTAGCTGCGCTTATGGACCCATGCCAAAAAAACTGGCCTGTTTTAGATAAATATATACTACAGATACCCAAACAATCGCCAAACTCCTTGGAACTTGTGCATGATGTTCTGTCTCCAATTTCCAAGGAGAACTTGATTATGGAAGAAATTGAAAAATTAAAGGAAATCGATGACACATTATTAAATGAGCCATCAACGAGCACTGAACCAAATGCAAAAAAACAGGTATTATGTTTTAATAAATGTAAAGGTAAACTTAACTGACGTATATTTTACTTGCAGAAAATATCAGCTAGTCGTCAAAGAATGTTGGAATTTATGGGACCATCGCCTTCTAATGTACAAAATAACGTAGAGTTAGAAATAAGAAAATATTTGGAAATGAAAGTCGAGGCGGTCGAGCCTCTAGATTGGTGGCGACAGAACAAACAAGTACGTTAAAGATTCACATCTTAAACTTGTTTTAAGCAGGTTACGTTTTGACCATTTACTTTTTATAGATCTTTCCAAATGTTGCTACTGTAGCAAATATGTGCTTTGGAATTCCAGCCACATCAGCATCTTCAGAGCAAGCATTTTCATATGCCGGGAATTGTGTAAATGCTAAGAGAAGCAACCTGCATCCGGCAACAGTAAAGAAACAATTGTTTGTTCACGATAACAAGGCGGTCGTCGAACCATTTTTATCAAATTAAAGTATTTTTATTATAATTTTTAATGTGCTATAAGCAACAAATGTGCATATAAATTTATATTTTCATTTTTATTTTAAATTAAATGAATTGACAGTTGTTAAAACAACCGAAATTATTTGTTCACGTTAAAGTCGTCGGCTGTAGCCGACTTTTAGCCGCCGCCGGCCGTATATTGCTTTAGCCGCCGCCGCCGATTTTCTTTCGGCTGCAGTCGACTTTTAGCCGCCGCCGACTTTTTTATGCTTAGCCGCCGCCGCCGAGAATTTCACATCGGCTTCGCCCTCTGGGTGGAAGACAGAAAGAAACCTGGTGTATGGTAATCACTGGGAAATGATAACGTGTTAAGTGATACTGATGCGGCAGGTATCAAATTAAATTTAACGTTTTTTAAGGCTAATTGTTGAGATCAAATGTAAAATGACGTTCTTACATTTCTGTTTCGTGGTTTTATATGATTTTTAAGAGCTCAAAATAAAAAGGGGAATGGACATCATTTGACATATCGGCAATCACAGGAAAATGATACCAAGTGGAGGGTTGTTAATGAAGAAGCTGTCTTTTTTTCTACATCCAACTAGGCAGAAGTAAAGAATAAACCAGAAAAAAAGAAAAAAAATAAGCTGCCCTTAAGTAAGAACTATAGGATTAAATTAAAAATAAATTGAAATTATGTCATTATGAAATTCAGCTGATATATTGTAATGACAGTAAAATGATAACAAGTTAAGTGATACTGATCACAGTAAAATGATAACAAGTTAAGTGATACTGATGCGACAGGTATTCAATTAAATTTAACGTTGTATAAAGGCTAGTTTACACATTATGTTGAGGTCATATGTAAAATGACGTTCTTACATTTATATTTGGTAGTTTTATATCATCTTAATTAATAATTAATTTTCTGTAGTTGTTGCATGGAAACATATCTCAGCTACGTTTTTACTAAGCTAATACCATGTTCAAACGGTTTGTCTACTCTATTATTTTTCAGAAGACCGACCATGATAGAAAAATACAGGTAGTCGCATCGACACAGCTGCTAGGACAATTGACTGTCAAACCGATTTTGGAATTGAAAATGTCGGATGAAAAATTGGTGAAATTTGTGAAAATTGTTGAAAAATGCAACAATTTGCTATTTGCGTCGTATACGAAAACATTTAAAAGTTTATTTATTTTTGAAAAAAAAAAAAAAAACATCTTAAATATGTTGGAATATCAATGTTCCCAAGCGTTGATGCATCTATCTTTATTCTTCTACCATGAGACCGACTATATAAGTCGTAAAATTACAACAAAAACTACCACTGGGATTGAAAACCCCCATACTGTCAACAATTTTTTTATTTTACAAGGTTTAAATTTACAGGATTTACTTTAAACCTTTTCTACACGATCCGCCCGTTTTAGAAATAACAATAAAACACAGTTTTATTTTAAGTTTTTAGTATTTTTTCTTTTATTTTTTTATTCTTTTTTATTTATTTAACATAAATTAATACAAAAAAATTAAAATTAAACTAAACAAAATGAAAGAGAAATAGTGGAGAAAAAACTGAGTACAGCAATTGGCTCAACAAAATAGAAACAAAGTTGAAGAAAGACGTTCAAGGAAATTTAGTCATACAAAAAAATAATAATTTAGAAAAAACGAAGAGTATAAAAAAATTCAGCGACATTTTCTTAAATATTTTTGGTTTCTAAAAGTGGGAGGGAGGGAGAGGAAAGTTATTTTATTCTGAGTAACTCCTACACTCCTTCATAATTTCCTTAAATGCGCAACTGAGGGTTGGTATAACGGACATACTTCAACAAGGCATCGTTTTCTTCGCAAACGAATGGTTTCTTGTGATGGCAAGCGACGTCGTGCCAGTTAACACCATCGTTGTAGAATTGATTCAAGAGAGCCAAACAGTTTTCGGGAGCACCGTTTTGTTTGTATTCACGGTTATCGGGTTGGGGCAAGCCAATACCACCGCTGGGAGACCAATCACCTTGGCTGCGTTCGCTGGTTGGGGCCAATTTTTGCAAAGTAGCAGTCCAGAACCAGCCGTTGATGTTGGTGGGTTGCAAGTCGGGACGTTCACAGCCCTTGAAGTCACAGAGACGGCCAGAGGTCCAGATGTATTTCACCTGAAAATAGGGGAAAATGGAGGAATTTATTAGGTTTTATTTCTTTTTTTTTTGAGTAAATAAAAGTAGCGGTTTATAATCGAGAGAGAGAGAGAGGGGAAACCATACTGAGTAGCAAATCGAAGGAGTAAAGAGAAAACTTAAAACAAATACATGAGATAAACATTTAAATGCTGAAGGGCATATAGTTGTGAAATATCTATTTAAAGAGAGAGAGAGAGAGAGAGAGAGAGTGAGGGAAACAACAATGAAAGATTTAAGAGTCTAATTTGAAAGAATAATTTAATCGTTGTAGAGATTTAATAACAGTAAACTGGCCTCTCTCAGAAGGAGAGATAGAGAGGGAGAAAAATAATGGTATAATTCAAGTAAAAGACTTAAGTTACAAACTGGAACGAGCAGATAATTATAATAAAGGGGAAAAGGCAGGAGGCCGTTAACTAGGAGACAAACTAAATAATAATAATGACACACTCTTCTGATTTTAAAATAACTGAGGAGAGAAAAGTATATCATGTTAAAATTAAACGGGAAAAATAGAAAAGACTTAAGACACCTACTTGATTTAAGTGAGAGAAGGAGAGAGATATATAGGATTGCAAGAAAAAGAGAGGAATAAAGAAAAACAGAGATAAATTGTCAAGAGAAATAATAAACGAGAGAGTTACTTAATTTAAAAGACTTAAGGCACAAACCTGAAGTGTGCAATAGTGAATGAATGAAAATACTTAAGAAACAAACTTCGATTGTGATTTCAATGAGAGTAGTGAGAGAAAATTTTAAATTATTACTGAATCAAAAGACTTAAGACGCGAACTTGATTCAAAATTAAGGCTGAATCAACATTTGTCAGCTAAATTAGGGACAATTTTTAATATTTTTATTAACAAAAACGTAATTTTTGTAAAAACAAATATTTGAAAAAATGCTGTCAAATTTTTTAGAACATTTTTAATTATGAAATTTTAATTTTTTTTCACTACAAAATTTCATGTCTTATTATATAATTATGGTATATTATCTCACACCCCTTAAAATGGTGTAAAGAAATGTAATAACAGTTACTAAACGATTTAAAAGAGGCGTGTAATGTAAAGTCATTAACCGTTTCATTACACATTTTTATATAATTTTTTGTCTTTTTCTATAAAAATGATGTTGGATCATTCACATCCGTATTGTTTAGGTGTAAGAGTTTTCTTGCCCAGTTCATTGCCATTTATGCAGAAATGAAAAAAAAAATCTGCATTGACACCAATTGGTACCGGCATTATTTTCACATTCCTAACAAAAAAATTTCTATTTCGGTTTAGTTACAGTTATGAAAAATAAGGTAAAACTGTAAATATTACAACAAAAAACAAAACACAACTCATTATTGATGTACATTACGTGCTTGTGATTTTGTTGTTTTGGAGCAAAAAAAAACCCAAACGGAAACTATTGTTACCCAAATGGTGGTGCTGTAGCATAAAATGGCCCTCATTGTTTTGTTGGCCACAAAAAAAAATCGTGCTCTTACAAACCTACCATAAATTGTCAACACTTTCTGTTTGCCATGCAAACAACCACACCAACATTTTCGAAATGTTCAGTCATTTGGGTGTTGTTTGTTTTCTTATTTAAACGTTGATATTTTTTTGTTAAAATGCAGTTAACGTTAAACCCCACCTTTCTTTGTTGTAGCTGTTGTTGTTGTTGTTGTTATAACAATAATACCTTGGTCTATAATAATATTTTATTTCCATGATATTTTACATTATTAACAGACGACACTACTTTCCCCCCGAAAAAGTAGGTTGTTGTAAAAAAAGGCAGCAACATTGAAAATCAATGAAAAATTTCCTACAGCTGACAGACAAGTGACCATAGAAATTATTTTATATCAATTTTTTTTGATTATGATTTGTGTTTGGATATGTTGAAGTGGATTGTCATTATTCACATTCATAATAAGCTTAGGTCGAGCCCTTTTATGGCCTTTGCCTTGGGTGAAGTTCATTGCATGTGTCACATAATTAAGGCTAATGGTGAGAGTTTAAAAAAAAAAAACAAGGTTTGGGCTGTGTCATTGCACGTGGCAGCTGTCATGGCTCAAGCTTTTTAATGGGCTTTACTTCGGAGAATTCTCTCATGCCACACACAAACTACTTAAGAGCTTATTGAGTGTCTGATAGGAAAGGCATGGACAATTTTACTATGGAACTAATAGAATTTTTCAAGCAAAATACCAGCTATTGATTGTTATTTTTTGGAAATTTCATTTTTTATATTCTTAGATTTTTTACAAGAATCCCTCAAAAATTATTTTTTTAATGTTCAAAAAAAAAAAAAAATGGATTGACTCGCCTTGAAACCTTGACAAAACTTAGATATTTTAAAATTGACTTAGAAAAAATTCTTTCAAAAGGAGTTCACCTTTAAAAGTTTTCACATATCAAATTAAAAAATCAAAAAAAAAAGGAATTTTATTTTTTCAATTTTTTCAAAATTTCCTTCTATCAACTGCATTACAAAATCGACCTTTTATTAGATTTTTTACAAGGATCCTTTAAAAATTATTTTTTTAATCTTCAAAAAAAAAAAAAAAAAAAAAAAAAAAATAGTGTTGACTCGCCTTGAAACCTTGACAAAACTTAGATATTTTAAAATTGAATTAGAGAAGATTCCTACAAAAGGGGTTATCAGAGTTCATTTTTAAAAGTTTTCAAATATCAAATTAAAAAATCAAAGAAAAAATTATATTTTTTTAAATTTTTTCAAAATTTTCTTCAATCACCTGCATTACAAAATCGACCTTCTACGTTTTTTATTTTTATTTAAAAATCTAATGATTTCCAATTTTTCTTTGACATTTTTCTTACAACATCCCTGATTTAAAACTCCTCATCCATCCATCCATCTATCCCAGGTGTCCCAAGCCCAATTAAAATATCATTAAATACATAAAAACCGCACAAGCTATCTAACTGTTAATAATGGATCTATGCATATGGAAATTTACATATTCAAACCGAAGATGCTCATCATTAATAATTCATCAACAACAGATTTTTTTTTTTATTATTTGACATTGGCAGCCGGCGACAACTTGAAGACTTCGTCATGGGGTTTGAAATGTGTTACGGATTATATCACATCTGGTGGGTAAACACAAAACTGAGTGTGTTTGTGTGTGTGCGTTGATGTTTTAGTTTTGTTAGAAATTAATTTAATTATGGTCTTACATATTTACACATTTTTTTGTGAAATATAGCGTGACTGAAAAAATCATAATTTTTTTATTTAACAATATTTTGTTGCATTTTTTTTCTTTTAAAGTAATCAATCATCATGGTAAGCATGACCGGGCAATATATTTTGTTTTATAAATATATATATTTTTTGTTTGAATTATTTATAAAAAAAAATTTCCTTTATTTTAATGAGGGCCCCAAAATTGGACTTCATTAAGAGGTTGCATGAATGCCTAGCTAGGCTTTTGCATTTCCTCTTAACATAACATGTTTCGATTAGTAGCGTTTTAAGGCAATAGAGAGATAAATGTGGCGGCAACAAGGAAATTAGTTACACTTTAGGAAACAATAATAGTTTGATTGGTAATTTACAATAAATATCAAAAAAATATGGGTATTTTGCCTTTGAAAATATATTTCTTAATATCTTCCTCATTAAAATGCATTTTTTATTTATTTTCTTTATTTACCCATTAAATTGGCTGAGAAAATAAGGAGGGAGCAGTAAACTCTCATCAGTTCCTCACTCACTCATCACTACCGTTTAATGCAGAGCCAAGCAAATGCAAGCCTTCAATAGACGTACTACTCTCCACACACACAATAGAAACCATTGAAAAGTAATGTAATTGGAGAGTAACAAAAATGGGAGAACATAAAAATGCGACTCTCTGCCTGGCTCTCGGTTTAATGTAAACAGAGAGTGTCAATAACAATGAAACTAAAGGGAAAGACTTAAGACACATACTTTAAATGAACAGTAATCTCTAGTGGAAAGAGGTGAAGGTTTCTAACCAAAGTGAAAACAAAACAAATGGGGGAGTGAGAATCACTTATAAATGAGAAAAGGAAAATGAAAACAGAGTAGGATATATCAAATGATAGCTCTGTTCAAGAAAATAACAAGAGAATAGAAACAGAGATTATAAGTAAAGATTTGCTACACAGAATTTAAGTGACATAAATTGGAAAAAATCCCTTCAAAGGAATAGCGGGTTCTGGTAAATGAAAAACAAACAAATTGAGTTAAATGAGAAAAGGAGTACGAAAACAGAGGAGTATTTATCAAATAATATCTCTGGTTAAGAAAACAACTTGAAAATGGAAACAAGGAATATAAGGAAAGATTTGCTACTGACGTTTCAGTCACATAAACAGGAAAAAAAACTCCCTCAAAAGGTATAACATATTCTGGTTAAAGAAAAACAAACAAATTAGGTAAGCAGTAAAGAGAAGTATTTTGGATGAAGTATTATCAGAAGAAGGAGTCTTTCCCCAATGAAAAATAAAGACGTAAAAAAAAGACGTAGTGGTCACGACTTGCGTCTTTTTGAAATAGACCTAATGTATTTTCGACTTACTACTATAAAAATGTTACATCTTCCGCATTTTTTTCTCAAGAACAAAAAAGAAAACGGCAAAAGTAAAGAGTTAGAAAATGTAGTATGGTAATGAGAGAATGAGGGAGGGAGAGAATTCTGGTTAAAAATAAAGATAAAAACAAATCTAGGCAAATGATAGTGGGAGACTTAAGGCAGACATAGAAATGATAGATTAAAAATGAAGAACTTAAGATACAATCAAGAAAACTATATTAATTCAGATAAAAACAAAGAAAGAGAGCGAGAGAATATATTTGTGAGAGTAAATGTATCTAATGAAATAAACGGGAAACTCGGACGTTTTAAAAAAAATAATAATAATAATAATAACAATAAACAAATAAATAAATAAATAAAAATAAAATAAAAAAAAATAAATGGTGAGAAAAAAATGGAGAGTGATGCGTAGAATGATGATACTTAGACACCAACCTGGACGTTGAAATCTCTAGGAGTACTCTCTGATATTTCTCAAAGAAAAAAAAAAAAAGAGGAATGAGAGGAAGAAGAAAGAGAATTTAACTCATATACATTGAGAGCATAGATGGAAGAGTATGCACGCTAGCGGTTGTGTCTCTTATTCTCTGTCATGAGTAAACTATAAATAATCGGAAAATAAGCATAATTTTGAAGAATTGTTTCTATAAATTAATTTTAGGTTTGTTTTTTATTTTGTCTATTTAGATTATGTTTGTTCTTGAAAATGGTTAAACTATCAAAATTTCGACACAAGAAATCTATTTTTCAATTCTCTTAAGAATTTCTCTTTCATTATTTTGCCCATCTATGATTGAGAGCTACGTTTAATCAAAGAGATAAGTGTATCTATTGCAGCGTGTATCTAGAACATGAACAGAAAAAAGAGATAATATAAGAGAAAATAAAAATTCTGTTTTTCTTTATATTTTACGGTTCTATTTAATTGTTTTTAAACACGAATGTTTGCCAAAATAATTTATAAAGCAAATGGATAAAAAATATTTGTATAAATAATGACTTAACACTGTTTTTTTCTTGATTTAAATAAGCAAAGAGAAATTTGACTGAAAAGAGATATTTCTTCTTGAGCACCGCTGATCTATTGACCATAGATAGGCAAAATAATAAGAGAAATCTGAAGAGAAATCTGAAGAGAATTTTGAAAAAATTTTCCTGCGATTATTTTTTTACTTAAAAAAAATTTAACTACATTTCAAATATAAACTTAAATTTTTTTCAAACGAGAGAAATAGAATAAAAAACATAATTTGTTAGACACGATTTGTTTTTAATTTCGTTAAATTTTTTAGTATCAATGACGAATATTAGCTTTTTTTATCTGCCATGTCTTCTAACCCAACCAATTGACCTAAAAGACAAAGTCTCAAAATGTCACCCATTAAACCGGGTAATAAATAACCCATAAAACTTTCTATTTGACATTTACAACATTATAAAAAATACCTAAAAAATACAAAAACAAGAAATGTGCAGCATCAGTTCATTTCCTCTAGGAAATGACTTTTGTAACATGTCTATTTTTAAGATAACCAATTTTTTTTTGGTCGTCGTCTTCTTCTTTGGCATTGTCATGGCTAATGCAAATTGCAGTTTCAACTTGTTTCGAACAATAAATTTTGAGACAACAAACCGGTGTATATCCAGTTTTGAAAATGACTCTTTTTTTGGGGGGAGACAAAATCTACCTTTAACCACACAGATGCTGGGTGGAATATAAAGTTCAATGAGAAGGCTGGAATATTTCTTTATTTCTTTGTGAGGGGGAGATTCGTTACCATACCGGATCGGTTGCCAGACAGCCAGTCGGCCAGCGTCAGGCAATCGACAAGTTGTAAACAATCATCAGGCTCAGGCTGGCGTACAGCACGATGGCGTTATGTAATAATTTTACTTAGCTTCGACGGTTTGTTTTTTCTTCTGTGTCGGTCTTTTTTTTGCAATGGAGTAATTTTGTACATCGTTTGTAAGGTTTTTTTTTCGTTTTTAATTTGTTTCTTCTTCATGAAGAAAGAGTTTATAGGTAAGACGTCTTTTTTTCATTGCAAAAAAACAAAAACTCCAAAGCAACAACAAAAAGAAAAAACAAAGCAACCTCAGTTAACCATCATTTTGTAATGCCGCATTTATTACAGTTTGCTACTGTAGAGCTTACTAATGGCTGGTGGCTGCGAGGCTGCTGCTGTTGCTATTATTATCATCCTCATCATCATCGTCGTCAGCTTTATCGACTCTATTGTCGGCATCAACATCATTAAGACTATTTCATTGTTGTCCATTTGACCGAAAAAACAGAGGTAATTTTGTACGCAAAACATGTTTTCTATTGAAATCGAAAGTGTTCGAAATGCGTATAAAACAGTGAATCAACGAGAGTGTATGTGTGTGTGTCTCTTTGTATGTGTTACGCATATTAGATTTTTGGGGTGCAAAATTTCATTAGCTATTTTTTTATTAATGCTTTGTTATTGTTTTTTTTGGGAGGAGGCACGTTTAAATGGTACTTTTCAATTCAATAAATGTTTTTTGATTTTTGTGGAAACTTTTTTTATTTTTGAGGACAGAACGTGAATTTCATACCACAATTAGATTATATCATTTAAGTTTTTTGAAATTTGAGGTTTTTTGTTTGATATTCGAAAGGTGAATCCCATAAAAAATGCGTTTGCAAAAAATAGGGGCAATGAGAGGGCATTTATGCCAGGGGCTAAACTGGCAAAAACATTAAGGTCACAGCAACAACAAATTTGCTGGCAATGGAAAATTACATGATAAATGTTTTTTTTATAAAAAAATTACTCTCTTTTTTTAATTTATATAATTTTATTTTAATTTTTTATAATTTTTGTTTCTCATAGAAATTTTTGTACATACATTGAGAGCATAGATGGGCAAGTATGCACGCTAGCGCTTGTGTCTCTTATTCTCTGCCCTGAGTAAACTATCGATAATCGCAAAATAAGCATTATTTTGAAGAATTGTTTTTATAAATTAATTTTTGAGACCTTTTTCGATTATATTTGTGTTTGAAAAATATTAAATTAGCAATATTTCGCCATATGAAAGCTATTTTTAAATTCTCTTAAGAATTTCTCTTTCATAATTTTGTCTATCTATGATTGAGAGACAATTTAATGAGGCGGACGATTTTATTTATTGGCCAAAGAGCATAAATGGGCAAAATAATGGAAGAGAGATTTTTAAGAGAATTTAGAATTTGATTTCTTGTGTCGAAATTTTGCTAGTTTACTATTTTTCAAACACAAACATAGCCAAAATAGGTTAAAAAATTAATTTGTAGAAAAAAATTCTTTAAATTTATCCTTATTTTTCCATCAATGATAGTTTACTCATGACAGAGAATAAGAGACACAACCGTTAGCGTGCATACTTGACCATCGACTGACGAAAGAGCTAATTAACTATCAATTAAAAATAAAAGAATTAAGACACAAACTTTAAAATTTAAAATTAATTTGGAATTTATTCTGTGAAAAAATTTTGAAGATGAAAATTTCGATTCAATAAAAGAAGAGGAAAATCAGTCAAAAAGTTACTTCAAATCTGAAAAATGTTTTTATACAAAGGGGTAGGAAGGTTTGGAAAGAACTTAAAAAATTACAAAAAATATACGGGGGCTATACGAAGACGTGGACCTGCATAAGTAATTTTTTGTTATAAGCGGTAGTACCCAATTAGGATCTTCAAATACGAAATTTGAAAAAATACCGGCGAATAATGTCGCTAAAATCATGAAAATACCGAATAAAGGGAGGTACAGTTATATGGGAGCTATACGAAGACGTGGAACTGCATACGAAATTTTTAGGCATAAGCTGTAGTACCCATTACAAACTTCGAATACGAAATTTGAAAATATTCGGGTGAATGATGTCGCTAAAATCATCAAAATACAGAATATCAGGAGGTACCGTTATATGGGGGCTATACGAAAACGTAGACCGACATATTCCATTTACGAACTTAATCTGCCTACTGGCAAAATACACATGTGTGCAAAATTTTAGCCTTCTATCTCATTTAGTTCGAAAGATAGCGTGGCTAAATCGTATTAGAATTTTATGCCGATCCAGAATATATATACTTTGTGGTGTCTATCATGAACACTTCGGAGAGTTATAAACGGAATGACAAATCCAATATACCCTCCATAGAATAGTGGAGGGTATAATAATTGGTTGATGAATATAGGAAGCTATATCCGGAACATGGACTGATTATCACCAATTTATCGTCCATGGAGCAAACAAATTGAAGAAAATTTGAAATAAATTTATTCCAATATCTCTACAAAACAAACCCTGATTAATTGTAAAAAAAATAATTTTTTTCCATTATATTTTTTTTTTTACTTTTCAAAACCCGTTATTTTTGGTCATCATGAATTTCCCAGAAAGATTAGTTTCATTTCAAAACTTACATTTTCATTGACAACACGTTGTTTGATCCATTCATTTTCCAAGCTAGTTTCCAAGGATACAGAGTCCATGCAACGTCTGCGGCAGTAGTTTCTGGCACTCAACCAATCTTCTTCGACACCCTTCAAAGCTGGGTCACGCCACGAGAAGAAATAACTGGAATAATGAAAAAAAATAAATAAATAAATAAATATTGATAAAAATATTCAAAATAAAATTTTATTGAAAAAATATTTTTAATTTTTTTTAATTAAAAAAGAATGTGTTTATAGAGAGAAAAAGGTATCAAATTTCTAAAAAAGTAAGATTTGCGAGACAAACATGAAATTGAGAATTGTTGCATTTGTCTGTAGGACAAGCGCAAAAATTTCCCTTGATTTGCAAGTTTTTCACTTGGTTTTTAGCTGCATTAAAATACGTTAACGTTTCTGTACTTTTATTAATTTTATTTTGAGAACAATAGTGGTTAGAAAGGCTCCAAGAATACTCCTTTTGCGGTTTTCCCTCTTAAATAAATTTTACGTAATATTCTCTTCCTCAGAATAAAAATTATCGCCGAGAGAAAAGAGACACACATTTTCTTGTAGAGAACTTAAAATTCAACAAAAGTTTTATGCAACAAACACAAAATTGGACCTTGTGCTGCATCTATCAGTGGAAAAGAGTTATGCTTATTTTATCTCTGCTAACAGAGACTAATAAAACAAGAAACAGTTATACATTTAAAATTCAGTTATTTGGAGTTAAAATTCTATTCAAAAAAGTTCATCCAACAATCAATTGAGAAACATAATCGAGAGTGGAAGTTTTTCTCTTTGCTCAAGAGACCAATGAAAGAAAGAACCATCATTTCTACTTAGAAATAATTTTTAATAGTTTGTATAATCTTTTGAAAAACATAAATAAATAAATATAAAAATAATAATAAATAAATACAAAAAAAATTGTTGGACTTTTTTATTGAAAAATTACAGATTTTTTTAATATTACAAAAATTGAAAACAGTTTCTTTATATATTTCAGTGAGTATTATCTCACTCTTTTTTATAAATTAAAAAAAACTCTGTTTTTTATTTTATTATATTTTTTAATGGCCATTTTGAAGGGTGAGACTGAAGTTCGATCTCATAAAGAAAAAAAAGAAGGACGAAAATATGTTAAGAGGTACATTTATTTGTCATATTATCTACAACCCTGCTGTCTTATATACGATATTTTAAAAAATTGTGACATTTTTTATTTTAAAGAATTTTCCTCGAATTCCAGAATTCCATTAATGGCATGGCTTTTTTACCAATTGTGTGAGAACCTCACAGATTTTTTTTTGGAGAAAATAGAAGAGAGTAATACCAACACTAACGAAAGACTTAAGACCCATACCTGACTGAAACCTCAACAAAGAAACTAATTGATCAAAAATGAATGATACATTCTCAGAGAGCAAATAATGAGTAATGCAAACTAAAGACTTAAGACACATACTTAAAGGAAGTCTCACTACAGAACCTTATGAATTCAAACTAAAAGACTTAAGGCACATATTTCTTTCGTAAAAAAGTAGATTTTTATATTCATTTTAAAATTAGGAACTTAAAAGAAAAGTCTTAAGTCATACAATTTAAGAATTATTGTTGTTGAGCTATAAACGAGAATTTTTTTAGAATAATTTTTAAAAAATGTCGTAACTTGAATTGACAATTTTACAAAATTTTTCTAGTCGAATTTTCGAAAAATATTCGGTTTAATTTGTATTTTAGAAATATTTTTCTAAAGAAATGTGTGAGTAATAAAAGGCAGTTTTAAAGGAGATGTGGGTCTGTTAGAGCTATATAATGAGAATATGTCAATATGTGTTAGAGCTATATAATGAGAATATGTCAACAGTGGGACATTTTTAAGATTATTTTTAAAGATATATCAGATTTTTAATTCCAAGTGTTTAATTTTGTTGTTGTTTTTTTTTTTTTTGCTAATTAGAGGAACAACTATAAGGACTATCAGAGCAATATACGTTGTTAAAAGATTTAATTTTTAACCAAATTTTTGATGCACTATCTAAGCAATTAACTACAATTTTGTAACAATATTTCCCAAACTATTATTTAAATTATTGTGGATTGTTGTTAATTAAACTTTCTATAGAACTCGAAGACAAAAATGGGTTTTAGAAATACTTTTTTGAAGGACTGTAACAAATTCGGTACTATTTATTACGACTTTGCTCTGGACTTGTTCTTAAATTCCCCTTAGACTTTTATGTTTAAATATATTTGTTTCATATTCTTTTATTTTAAAAATAGGTCTCGCATTTCCCTTAGGCTCCTGTTTTCCACTGCATTTTGTCGAAATTATTTTTTATTGTGAAATATTGTAAAAGGCATTTTTTATATTTATTTAAATGCATTTTTATATTATTTTTAGATTCACAAGTGAACATTTTAAGTTTTTTTTTTTAATTTTGGGAAATACTGTCTCATCCTTTTAATAACCAGAAATCACACTTTATTCTCTCTTTAATTTTTTTTGTTTTTTTTTTTAATTTTTTTCAGAGTTCCTTTTTTAATTTTTAAAAATTAAATCATCAACTCACCCTTTGCCATCGGGTGTCTTTTCATGAATAACACGTTGGGCACACAACTGGGGATTGGGTGGATCCAAGACGCGTCCGTTTGAGAACTGGGCCAAACCGACACTTAAAACACTGAACAAGCAGATACCGGCCACTACAAAGGCTTTCATTTTGTTATTTTTTTTATTTATTTGTTAATTTAATTTGTGAAAAAACACAACACTTTCGTTTTCGTATTTATACTCTGTTTGCTTTGAATTCACCACGAACGCGTTCGATTTCAAAAAAAGACACCTGTGCTATGTCTTCTTCAGATTCTTGACGTTACGACCGTAATTTATGAAATGACACAAAAGTTTTTATGCCTCCCCACTTTATATACGTGAAAAGCTCAAAGTCAATGTTGAGCTGTGTAAACATGCTTGGAATTTGAGTAGTTTCTGTGTGTGTTTTGGTTTGTGTGTGAGTTTGCGATGGTTGGTTGCTTGCCTGCTTCGTATTTGCCTTTTCTGGGAGTCCCAAAGAAATGAGTGACTCTTTGGCTGGCTGGCTGGCTGACCGTTTGTTTGTGTGTGTGTTTTCTGGCTTTACTCTTTTTCCCCAAAATCACACAAAATTGAGTGATTTGTATTTAAATTTGTATTTCTTCTTTTTTTGAATTGCCTTTGCCTTCATTGTCGACTGCCTGTATTTGGGATCAATCAATGCCTTTAGGCTTACGTGATATTATGGTCAATAAAATTTCTTTAAACAAAAATATTTTTCATTTGGCTTTTCGGAAGAAGAAAATATTTGTCACCTTGTTGGTTGGTTGGTTGATTGGCTGGCTGGCTGATGGCACTTGGTCAGGTAGATGGCTTGCCAAGTAGGTAGGTTACATGCCAATGCTTGGCTTGGTTTACAAAAATTATTATTATTATTCATTTGATGTTCAGAAACGTTTTATTTTTTTTTTTTTGCTATTGACATTGGTTGTGTAATTTTAAGATTTTTTATTAAATACAAAATTTAAAAATTATGAAATATAAATTTTAAAATTAAATTTTTAAATTAAAAATTGAATTTTTTATTTAGAATCATCAGCCAAAACACGCATTCTTAAACTGTATACGTTTTCATTCGAAGAAGTAAATTTGTTGATTTACGAAATTTTAAAGGATTTTTTAAGAAGAGAAAATATATTGAAGGAAATATTTTGAATTATTAGCTTTTTAAATTACAACATAAAAGCTTTTGAGAGATTTTTAATTTTTTTTTTTTTTCGAAAAATGTTAAATACTATTTTCCCAACACAAGATGGCCCAAATCATATTTTTATAATAATGGATTAATTATATAAATTAAAAATATTAAGGGAGAGAATCTTTTTTTCTTAAAAAAATTCTAAAATTTGTTGATCATTAATCGTACATTTTTAGAAAATTATTATTTTATGGACTTTGAGGAAATATTCATATATTTTTGAGGATTTTATTAAGGAATGTTCTGTAATCTTGAGACTCTAATTGTAAGATTTTTTAATATTATTTGTGTTATAAAATATTGCTTACAAATACTATTTATAATATTAAATTTGAAAGCTAGATATATTTTTTTAATAATATTTTCTTTATTATTGAGGCTATAACCGGTGATTTTTTTTTAAATTATTAGTTATTGACATTCGATGAATTTTTATAATCGAGAAATGTGCTACAGACCTAGGAAGAAATCTCATCTCTGTGTTTTTGTACCTATTTTGAGAAATTATTTAAATGGAACACTTAAAGACTTAAGAAACGAACTCGAAAAAATACAGGGAGCGGAGTGCAAATTCATGAGACATGTGCACTCTTGTGAGAAAACAATCGATTATCTTTGGAGAAATTCAGAGAATGTAATCCAAACTAAACGAAAGACTTAAGACACATACAGGTTGAGATAAAAAACTGCAACAAAGTCAAACGCCATAAGTTTTACATATTTTTTTTTTTTAATTTTATTGAATAAAAGCAAAAATGTCGCAAATAGCATTAAATTTTAGAATAAATTTAGATTTGTTCGAATTGGTGACGTTTGGTACGAATTATGGCCTTCAAACTGCCAATGAAACCTTCACACGCTGCCTGAATGTTGCTCTGCGGCATTTTGGCGCTTTCTTGAGGTGATCAGTAGAAATGTTTTGAAAAGTAAAGAAGCAACTTGATCGAAACCCGCGTCGCTGTGGCCGAAAAATAGCTCATGGGCTGAACATATCGCAATATTCCATTCGGAAAATATTGAAAAATGAGCTCGGGGTACAGCCATTGAAATTCCAAAAAGTGCAAGAACTGCAAAGGAAAGAAAAAAATGCAAAAGAGCTAAAGAGTTGCTTCTTTTGGCCGATAGTGGTGAACTGACGAATTTGGTTTTCTCCTCTCCAATGAGAAAATATTCGTTGTCCAGAAGTTTGTAAAGAAACAAAATGATCGTGTTTACTTTCCAAAGAGGTCAGCTGAAAATGTGCACATTCGGTTGGCCACAAGAACTCAAGCGCCGGCCATGGTGATGGTGTGGGCCGGCATAACAGCCGTTGTCGCTCTCCGCTCGTATTAATAGACATTCATCGGCATCAGAATAAATGCCAAATATTATCGCGAAAATATTCTGCAGGGTGTATAAAAGCCTAGGACACGCAAACATTTTGGCCGCAGACCTTGGACATTCCAACAGGACTCAGCCCCATCGCACTCAGCGCGCGCCACCCAAGAATGGTTACAAAATGAGGTTCCTCGCTTCATTTCCAGCGCACAATGGCCACCTAAATCTCCGGATACCAATCCGTTAGACTATTGTGTCTGGAGTATTTTGGAAAGCAAGGTTGGCTCTAAAAAATACCAAAGTGTCGATCACCTCAAGACAGCGCTTCGCCGGGAAAATACCGTAGAGCAACATTCGGGCAGAGTGTGTTGGTTTCATTGCCCGTTTTAAGGCCATATTTTGTACCAAAGGTGACGAATTCGAACAAATCTAAACTTTTTTTTAAAATTTGATGCTATTTCCGACATTTTTTGCTTTCATTCAATAAAATTAAAAAAAATGTAAAATATATGGCTTTTGACTTAGTTGCAGTTTTTTTATCTCACCCTGTACATCTGTCGGGAAAACCAACTGATACTATTTAATTTGTTATATTGATCTTTTCTTTCAATAAGGAAATTTTTTAAATATTTTGAACAATTTTGAAAATAACAAAACTGTTTTTAAAAATATTTTTTTTTATATTTTTTGGCCTAAAATTGTAAATTAAAAGAAATCCGTATTCCTGATGTATTTTAGCTTCTGGTGTTGCAAATGTCTGTAATTGACTGCATTTCTTATTTTGATGTTTTCAATAATTACTAAATAGCCTATACATTGTTTACGTTATTGTATTTGAAATTTTCTCAAACTGTTTTGTTTCCCCATAAGAAAATTATTTCTCAGATTTGTTTTTTGTTGTCGTCTTTATTGTTTAAATATTTATCCAAGTTGAAGTTTAAACATAATTAGTTTTTGTTTTGTTCAATTTGGTGTTTTTTGCTGCATTGAATTTTGATGTTGACAATGGTAATAATGGAAATTGTGGTCATAGGCGTATGAGAGCATCAGTATTGAGAAGGCTACATTTCGAAATTCTTGTGGTTTGGCAAAGAGTTAGTCCAGAGACTTGTCTGGTGGATAGGAGGCTATTATCACTATCCAAATGAGAACGCACATACAGTCATCTAAGATCCCAACTAAAAATATGGTGTAATGGTGAGTGTGAGTTACCTCTTAAATATGTTGTTTGATTGTGATATCTCTCTTGTAATGTCTGCGTTTCTCCATTTTTAACACTTTTAAGCTCAAAGAGATATACAACTCTTAATATTTTTGTTTCTATATTTTTGAAATCTTTCAACTCTTTCTCAAAGAGAAAGAGAGAGATAAACTAATACAATTTTATAGTCGATTATAATTCTTTTTTTTAAACATTTAAATAACCTTTTACCTTTTCCCCCCAAAAAAATAATCCATCTACGCCCAAGTTAATGTCGTTGCAGCATTTGTCTCTTGTAAATAGAAATCATTATGTAATATTTGTAAGGGTTATTAGCAAAATTGTCAACGTTAAGTGAAGTTGTTAAACCTGCTGCCGGGGGAAAATTTTTTACATTTTGGGTTAAGATGTTTGTTTGAGGTTTTTTGTTGTTTTTGTGTGGCTTGATGTTGACAAAGTTAATTTCCTTCGATGTCGATGAGAAGCAATGTCACAGAGCAAATGTTTTATGCAATTGCTTGTGATGGGGTGTAAACAACGGATTTTTTTAATGATGCGATTAGAAAAAAATTGTGTTTGGAAATTCATAGTTAGGGTTTGCCAAACGACTGATGAGGTTTGTTTCTTAAGTCTTTGGATTATGTAAATGTAAGATCTCAGAGAAGTCCAATTCTATATAAGACCTAAATGAAGGATTTAAAAAAACGCTCTATAATTATTCGGAGATTCTTCAAAATGCCTTAAAAAATTAGGCGAATAAGCAGAAAGAAAAAAACTTTAAGCTCGGTCGGGCTGAACTTTTAATACCCTCCACCATTAGGTAAAGGAAATATTTTTTATATAAAAGTGTCTGGATTCAAAAGTTTCCGCTTTAAACAACAAATAGCAGTAAGATTATGCTTTTCAAAAACCATAACCTGGGTGGAGCCGTTATGTGGCGTCATACAAAAACTAGAACCTATATACACAATTTTGTACTTCAAGTATTCAGTTTTAAATACCAAATTTGAATCAATTCCGTGGGTAAATGTGACTAGGATTATGAAAATATCGAATATCGGCGGGTAACGTTATATGTACACTATGAAAACGTGAACCTAGATTTTCAATGTTCAGCCACCGGAGCTGGAACTCATTACAAACTACAAATACCATTTTTAGACAAATCCGTGACAAAATGTGGCTAAAATCATCCAAATACCGAATATCGGGAGGTGACGTTATATGGGGACTATACGAAAACTTGGACCGATATATTTCATCTTCTAGGCACAATACAAATTGTTGTTCCAAATGTTAAAACTGTATGTCAAGTAATGTGAGCTTGTTCGTGATTTCAACAGACAGACTGTCTGTCCGACAGACGGAAATGGTTCATTGGACTTAGAATTTTTTGCTGATTTGGTCTAGGGCGAATATTTAGGAATGTTACAAACGGAGTGACAAAGTTAATATACCCTCCTTTGAAGGTGGAGAGTATAATGAAACTTGACCACCACACTATCTAAATTCAGAAACCAAGAGTGACCTCAAAATCAAATTTCAGGATTTCAGCTCACCCAATAAACAGGAGGAAGTACTTTTCGAATAATTTA